ATGCCAAATCAATTTTTCATTAGTTAAGACAATGAACACTGCTCGTAATAAGCAAGATGTTTGAATAACATTATCTATATTTAATATGTCGTTTACTTAAATTTCTACTGAGTATATTTTCAACAATTTTAAATTGAATATGAAATTATAACACTTACCCTACTATTAAAAGCACCTATTAAATTACTTACACGAAACAGCATTCAAAATGTACACGCTTGCTGCCAAAGCTTTGAAGAAAGTCAGAAGCTGCTTGGACCTCTGATGGAGGTCCTCTGATGTGCAAGCCCAGCTTAGAGAGCAACAGCCTCTCCAGCAGGTGCAGAGAAAATGTTTCCCTTATTCAGTTTATTTGAGTGGTTCAGTCCAACACGCAGTTTGTTGAGAACAGAGGAACCGCTTGGCAGACGATCCCTAGTTTGCTTCTTGCCAGCTACAGCAAAGACAGGCGTGAGACGCCCGCGGAGCACACGGGCACCCGGCTGAGGCTGTCCCGGGAGGACACGCAGCCGGGTGGGTCCCCGCCGCTCCCGGGGCGCCCGCGCTGCCCTCCCGCCGGCCGGCACTCCAGGCAGGCCGGGCCGCGCTCCTGCGCCCAGGGCCACGCGGAGATGCTCCAGCAGGGCTCCCAAAGCCAGCCAGCTGAAGAGGACCAACCCATGCTGGCAGGTTTCCCTAAAGCCAGCCGGCACCAGGGGGTGGAGGCTGCTTTCTGGCTTCCCCAAGCCTGGAGCACAGTTAATAACATGCCAGCTGTATCTGCAGACAAGCCAAGTTTAATGAGGCTACAACAAAAGCATTCAAATATGCACTACAGAACTTCTGTGGGGATTTTTTCTAGAGCTTGTTTTTAAAAAATGAAAGATAGGAATTCTTGACAATGTTTGTACACACACTTCCTTCGTTTTTAATTGATTTTGTTTTAATTATATGCTGCAAATTCAAAGAAATCAACATTAGAAAGACTTGTTTAATCCCACTACTTCCAACAGCAAAATTATGCTGTGTGATGAGTGCTTGAAATGCACTGCTGGTTGCTTTTTTCTTAATAAACATTGAAGTCTTAATTGTTTTTCCCCTACGTGGCCAGACACCATCTTTCTGTCTGCCAGGTCTTCACACGAGGGCAAGTCCTCACCTCCTGCTTGGGAGCCAGCACAGACACACCAATGTGAGCTCATCTCTGGCACAAGTGACGGACGAGATAGCTGACCCCTCACTCTCCCACCAGCCATGCCTCACGACATCCCTCTCTCCTACTCTGGGCCAAGGTACACCAGGTATCAATAAGAGGATTGCAAACAGGGACTCAGAGGTGGGAGGGAGCAGCAAAATAAGCCTGCTCAGGCATGAGAGGATGGAGAAGGTAGAAAAGGGGCAATTGCACACTGTCTCCTTCACCAGAAGAACCAGAGTATCAACTGAAAGCAGGTGACAAAAGTGAAGTGAACAAAAGGTGATGCTTTTCCCCAATGCATAGTTGAACTCTGGATTCCCACCACAGGAAAAGCTAACTGCACTTCAAAATGGAAATTCAAGGAAGATTGTCTGAAAAAAAATTAAATAAAAAGCACCACAAAGTGCTTAGGTAAGTTTGTTGACAGCTAGAAAAATGTCCTGGGAAAACAGCATGATGGGACCATCAGGCTGGCTCAGTACAGCCATCCTCATATGAAGAGTATTCTCCCAATTGTCTGAGATGGGATAGGGGAAGAAAGCAGGAAAAAACCCCAAACTCTCCATTCAGCTCTTTTTCACTGCTTACATGTGCAGTCTGAAGAGCTCAATGGCTCTGAATCTGCCAAGGCTGTTGATATGGCCATCAGTTTTGTCCCTCAACAACCCACACGAAGGCAGTGCATGCCCTTCAGCAGTGTCCTAGCCATTATAGAAATAATCCATGCTCTTGTCCATCTGAGACAGGACAACCCCATCACATCCTCCATTCAGCTCTCTAAGGCTTTATTAAAGGTGTCTTTGTAACAAGCACATATCTATTGTAGTCTCCAGGCTATCTTCACTGCAGTCCTGAATTGAGTTTCATATACTGGGTTTTGTCTACAACCCTCTGAATGCTGGGACCTGTTTATGGCAAACAGGGATCCTCCTTCCTGTAGGCACAGCTGCTCGTGTAGCTCTCACCAGTCTCCAGCCTGGGAAGGAACTCTTTCCACTGAAACCCCTCCCTCCTTCTTTTCTTTATTTTTTTTTTTTTCCCCTAAAACCCATAACCCATTCATTATTTACTTCGATTTCTGTATGCTGAGAAACAAACCTGCCCTATGTAGACCCCCACAAACCTCCTTCTGCTGTACCATGGCAATGGATTACCCTTGCAAACAGAAATCTGAAGCAAGAGGAGGAGAAGGGGAGGTGGAGCTCCAGCACCCCAGAATTGCTGTGTGAGGCCTGAGCTGGTGCAGGGGGATCAGGCAGGCTCCAGCTCCCAAATGCAGCTCCTGCTGCACACAGGAGCTCCATGGCCAGCACCCAGCACAGCTCCTGCTTCACAGCATTTGGGGTGCTTCGGTCTCTGTGCATCTCTCTGTTGCTGGTGCAGTGAAGGAGAAGAGACTGGCTGTTCAGCCAGCCAGGGGCAACCTGTTCAAGATCTCCAAAGGACACGCTTCCTTTAAGAGGCCTCATTTGAAACATGCACCCACTTTCTCTTTTATCCACTTCCATGCATACCTGTGCTTACTTTGCAGACTACTTTATGAACTAGATAAAAACAGATAAAAGAACTCAATTAAAGTAGTAAGAATTAAACGGTCCCTTGCCAATACAAGCAGGCTAACTTGTCATCCTCAGCTCCTCACTGGGCCATATGTTTAAAAATGACAAGGAAAATGGTCTTCTTGTGTGAAAAACATATGCTGCTTGAGGAAAGACGTCATCATTGCTAAGAAATTTTGTGCAGCCTCAGAATGCATAGACAGGCCATCAGTGACTGCTGGCTATGTGGGAGCTCAGAAAGGGGTGGGGAGAGCTCATTACCTCCCTCCTGCCAGGGGTTTTGGTAACACTCAACCAAGCCGGCCGCAGCCGCGCTGGCAGCGCTCCTATCTGCACACGCAGTGCCTGGTGCTGCCTCCCTCGCCACCATCCCCAGGGGGCCGGCACAAAGGTGGCCGTGGCGATTGGCAGGGGATGGCGCCCGGCACCTGGCACACTCTTATCAGCCAGCGCACTGCCCGGCCCGGCGCGCCGGCCCCGCGCGGATCTGCCGTGGGCTCCGCGCTCGGGGACACCTCCGGGAGGCCGCACAGCAAACCCCAGCTGGGTGTTTACAGCGAGCAGGCATTGTTTGAAACTCGCATGTCCCCCCGCCATCAATCCTTACGGCCACTGGCATGGCTGAAAATCCAGCAGAGACAGAGGAAGAAGAGCTGAGGCTCAGCCCCGCTGGCACCTCACCGTGCCGAGGGGCTGAGCGCAGGGTCACACACCTGGGGTTCTCACCTACCTTTGCCTGTGTCGACCCTCCGATCTGACGGGCAAGCAGCACTGTCAGGGAGCACAACACTTGGCACAACTTTGTCAGACACACGCAGTACACGACACACGACGCCGAAGCACATTTGCCGCGTGTGGGGGCAGAGCCAGCGCTGGTGCCTCAGCACACGCTGCACGGGATGCACTGCAAAACCTCGGCATGGCCAGAGGTGCTGTAGGCCCTGTTTGACATTTGAGATTTGCAGCTGTGCTTCTGTTTGTCTTCAGATCCCCATTCAGATGTGAGAATGTGCTTTATGTTCTACACGATAAATGCGTATTTTGCTGAGCACCTGCACAGCAAGCCAGTCAGCACAGCTCCTTATCAGCACACTGATTTTCGGGCACGTGCAAGCAGAAGTCCTTGAAAAAGCCTCTTTTCAGGCTGGCTGGGAACATCCAGGTAAACTCAAACAGCACCTGTGTGATGACAGGAGGCAGGGGAGCCAGACCCCAGACCACCCTGCCATGTGTACCCCTGCACCAATGTGGGGTTTCAAAGCTCTCAGCACGGAGGGCACAAATACTGACTGCAGGGAGATGTGCAGCACATGCAGGGAGATGTGCAGCACCTGGGCACTGTGGCCAAGGCGCTGCCAAGCCCTGGGGAGCCCTGTGCTCTCCCTGCACCTGGAGAAGGGACATCTGTGACAAACTAAGGACAGGAGCCTGCACTTGCAGTCCTTCAAGTGATTGACAATAAAAACACTGCCCCGGTGCCCATTTTCAGATCTGGACAGCAAGAACTGAGGACTCCAGGGAAAATCCATGTTTTTACAGTTTGTGAAATTACTGAGCTTTTCTGGTGCCAATTTTAAAACACTGCTATGACCTCTGGAAAGAAGGGAAACTGCATTTCAGCACGACAACGCAGAAAAGAACAAAAAAAGGAAATTTGTTATTTTTTTAAGCTTGAAACACTAGTCAGGTTAAGAGAAAGGAGCAGCATTCTGGCAAGGACAAGAGCACTCAGACTGAACCACAACACAGTAATTAGGGCCAGTAGGTCATTAGACACACAGCTGTATAAACTAGGTGTATAATTAAGTTTCCACACTGCTTTTTCACAACTGTATTTCAGTTTCTTTTGTGGAGGACAATCAGTAATTCATTAATTTAAAGATGTAAAAAAAGCAGCAGCAAAAAGAGAGAGAAGTGACTGATTTGCCAATCAGGTGCAAACAAAGATTACAATTTTGGGAAGGGCTAATTTTGGAAATGCATATAAGACATCTCTCTTTGTCAGTGGGAAGTAAAAAATGCCACCTGACAAAAACATTCATGAGATACTGTTGACAAGCTGCTGTATATGTGTTTCTGGATAAGCATCCCGCAAATGGGGTTGCATGGCAATTATAATTCTTGTAGCAGGTGAAATAAAAGAAAATGCAAAATTATACACTAGTATGAAACAGTTACAGTACCTCGCTTCAAACGTAAGCCTACAAGTTACAGGGCATTTAAAAGAAGCAACTGCAAGACTTTAATTATAAACTAGTTCCTACCGTACAGTAGTTTAGAAAAATCAGCTGCTTCCAAGCTGGCAATATCCATATATAGCTCTGCTGCTGTTTGAAACAGACAACCTGTAAAGTTATCAACAACAGAAGAGGACCTCATGAAATGCTCAGAGTCTCAGCCAAAACCTACTTCTGTCCGCTTCACTGATGTGCTAATTTGCTTTAAAACCTCTACTACATTCACTTGAGAATCTGAAGAAACAACTTTACCTGAGACTATTCTGACCCATGGGAGGAAAAGGGTGGAGGAAGCAAAAAAAAAACAAAGGAAAAAAAAAAAAAACCCACAATAAAATACTGGAGCTAAACCCAGATTAATGCAGGATTAAACACACAAGCCAAATGACAAAGCTTGTGACTTTTTAGCCACTTTTTGTCAGACAACAAAACACCTGGCACCAGCCACCAGACAGTGATCTATCACAGAATACTTTCTTGATGTAGGGAGCCTCTGGTGCTTGTTGTAGGACACAGTAAATTGTAAATCCACATGTAGTTCTTTACTCTTGTCACTAACACTGTAAGATAGCATCATGCTACACTTACACTGTAACAGCAGCATGCAAAAACACATATTAAAAAGGCTGCACATGATGCCAATGGCAATTACTAAGCTCTCTCTAGTTTAGGGGATATGGGATACCAGTGAGTTTTAAAGCAATTTTAAAATATTAACACATCCAGTTTATAACACTAGGTGTTTTTATTTGTTCTCAGAGTATTTTTCAAGATGCTGCCGTTTAAAGAAACAGTTTAAGGCACTGCTTCCAGGACTGCTGCAGGAGTGCACATTTGTGGGGGCAAAATGGGAAACAAGGGAATATATAAGCCAGTAAGGAAATGTGATGTTCTTTTGGTACAAGCTGCCCCCATTTAGGCCTTTTTCAGATCCCTGTAGACACCAGGAACCTACAACCTGCAATCACAGACATCAGTCATGAGCAAAAGGTATAAAAGGCACCTAATTCTGTCAGAAGGAGAACATCTCTACTACACTGACATCAAAAGGAATGCCATGCACCTATGCTACCAGAGATGTCTAGATTTCATCAGTGTTTTGTCCTCAAAGAAACAAGTCTGAAATACATGAAAAAGCAAGGGGGGGAATGGCTGTTTGTTACTTCCTTACATGTCAAAGCACCTCCGTTCAAACTGTATTATAACTTCAGCACGCTGTAATGAATTTCTAAGGGATTCCAGTGAAATAGATGGTTTATCCTGTTCTTTGGAGTGATCTCTTGTAATCCTGCAACACTCCTGAGCTACAATACCTTCCTAACTTCAGTATCCCAAAGGAAGTCATTAGTTATGTTGTATTATCAGCCTGGTGATATTATCACTACAAATATTACCTGTATTGATCTGGAGCCATGTAGACATGCCTGAAAGCCCTGCTTCAGATTAAGACATGAAAATCTAACTTGCCAAGAGGTCAGGCACCGCATTACACCCTCAGGTGTGTCAGGCAGGTATCACAGGGAAAAGGAATGCAGGGTAACTAAGGACACAGGCAAACAGCTTTTTTTGTAGGGTAAGATCTTTAAATACAACACCTTTCTAATGCAGTCTTAGCTTTTCACCCAGGTGGTGCAAATCTTTTTAGATGAACTGAACAAAGACACACATTTTGCATGCTTTCCTCAAAAATTCTCATCATTATCAGACCACGTATCAAACTGGTATATCTGAAAGGGTTGTTTTTTCCTCAAGGTAAGGCATGTGAATATCAAGCAATATTCCAGATTGTCTTCATGGAAACATTCTCATTCCAAAATACATGAGTGCAATCTTCCTATTTACTTTAAATCACTACAGGACACTAGATTAAACTAAATATAAAACAGATACTCTAGTTCTGGAATAAGGATTATCCTCACATGGAGACAATTATCACTTATAACATGTATATGCAGATAGTTACATGGTGCCTTTTTGGGACAAAATGTCCTTGTAAATCATCCACACATGTGAAGACAGCAAAAGAAGACAAAATTATGCTACCTGCAATCAAGAATAGCAATTGGAATACTGACAAATTATTTTGATATATCCCTAAAGATACAATTTATTTTTCTTAGTCTCACTAAAATACTACACTGAGGATAAAAAAAAAAAAAACTGAGGTGTGAAAACACTGACTGAGTTTACATGAATAGAATCTCTAGTTTGCCATGTTTTAATGCAGATTTGCCTCTGGAAAAGAATTGATCCTTTTCATAGCACTGCTGTCACCTGTCATAACCTTATGTTCCTGCCCTGGCATCCCATCAGCAGTGCCCGCTGCCCTCTGCCAGTTGTGCCATTACAGCTGTTTGGGGGCCACGCAGGGAACCAGAGCCAAGCAGACATTTGGGCTAAAGAGCCTCCTTTTGTGGGGCTCAGCCCCAGCACCATAAGCAGCTGTCCCAGCACAATTTGAGGAGAAGGGGCAGTGATGGAGCAGCAGCTGCCCAGGGCGCTTCTTCCTTGGAAAGGCCCAGTGTCCACATGGGCTGTGCACTCTGCCTTCCAGTCTGGAAAACAAGGGGTTTTCTGAATAGAAAGTTACATGTTCTTGCTTACTCCCCTGCAGCAGAGTGCCATGTGCAGAAGTCTCAGGCCCATGCCATGGCTGTCAGCTGGCTGGGAAATTACCCTGCAAGAAGTGGCCTTTCGATTTTACGCACTTTCAAGTTTGCAGCCTGTCTAGGGCTTAAAGGAGAGTGCAGAGCAAGGAGCCCTGGGGGCAGGCTTAGGACTGCAATCCCCATCTAACTGCAAGCATGGGAAAAGCCCCAACATCCCTCTGTCCTTCCTCCCAGCAAGCAGATGGGAACAAGAGCAGGGAGTCCTCCCCTCTGCAAGCCAGAGTGAGACAAGGGAGGGTGCTCTTGGGGTGGGAGTCAGACCAAGCCAAAGCCTCCACCTGACCCTCCTTCCCTGGTGTATTCCATCCCCTGTATTTTTTCTTGGCTGATCATTTTACTTATGCCCAAAAAGGAGAGCAGAAAACATACACTAATTACAAAACAAATTAAGTGGCCAGGAGGAATATGCACTCAGGGGAAAGATAATGGGATACTGCTGCACCAGAGGAGAAACTAACCCTTCTGCCAGCCTTGACCTACCCGTCTGCCATAACAGCAACTGCCTAAAAATAATTTAGATGAGTGTGGAGGAAGACGTGATGGCAGAGTATTCAACTCTGGGAAGGTGAAAGATAAGAATCCCTGATTTAAATACATATGAACATATTCTGCACTCCCCCTCCTAAGATTTTATTTAATCTTTGGCAAAATCTGCAAAGCTTTTTCCTACCCCTGTAAATCGGCTTAGCATGCTCAGCTGAGTACCTGCTGCTACCGCCGGCCATGCAGAGGCAGCCCTGGAAAAGCAAGGTATGTTGCAATTGTTCACACCGGTGCTCTGAGCTTGTTCTTACTTTACAGAAAGTAAAATCAAGATCAGCGTAGGCTGATGCCATCCTCACTTTCAGAAAATTCAAAAGGCAATGTAATAATAACCTAGGGAGAATGCTGTATTTTTAGGGTGGGATTACAGAACTCGCACTATGAATTTTAATCTCGGGAATCATCACGTTCTTTTAGGGGTTCAGAGGCCTTTTTTCCTGGGAGTTTTGCACACTTCAGTCATTTAACTTTTTTAATCTTCCTACATTTGGCGAGAGAGGGAAAAATACCTGCCTGAAACTTCTAGTATTAAAAAAACCCACAACATTTTTGTCTAACGTAATTACTGACATATTCCAATTGGAAAGCTGTTGCTTTTATTTTAATTTTATTAAAGGAGTGAACAAAGGCTACCCAAGGCACCACAATAAAATTACATTAACTGTAAAATTACATTATTAATTCTTTAATCTCACTTGAGGCCTCAAGCTGTTGCTATGTCCAATTACCCAGCTAACCACCTGTCAGAACTGTAAAGCTAGTTTAACATTACCTCCAGGACAGTTGTGTGCCCTGTGTTCAGTCAGGTCTGCCAGTGAATCGAAGTCCTGCTGACAGTTATCGCAGGTGTAAATTGACTCATCCTCCATGTCTTCATCTTCCTCATTTCTCTCTTCCTGGCTCGTCACACTGTTCCTCTCTTCCAGGGCCCGGCTGTCCTTCGCTTCGCTCTCCAGCTCTCCTCCCAGGCCACCTGCCAACAGCAAGAACATCCGCTAAGTTTGAAAGGTCTGAAAAATAAGAGCTTTAAGAAGGATGTTGCGCTTATTAAGATACATTTAATTACAGCCGCTCTCACATTATTCCCGACACCTTTCATTATATTAATGTGGTTTTCATATCATGTGGTGCAACAATTCTCAACTGTATTCTCTGCTGCTTAGTGCGAATCCTGCAAACACTCTCTCCTAATCTTCTCTGGTGGGTGTATAGCAGGAGCTTCTAACTCTGTCATATAAAGTTGTTAGTGTTTTATCACTTAACCAGATTCTCAAAGCTTTAAAAATTGGCAAGATTAATTACAGCCCGCAAAGAAAAGGCATGTGCTGAATTTTAATTCTCAGTGCTCTCCTCTTCCCACCGCCCCCAAGCCCCAATATTAGTAACAACAAGCGAAAAAAGATGCTCTAGCTGAATATCCCAAAGCACACACATACCCCAGGACATGAGAGGTCTTGCTGAACTAATGAGAAGCACTTGGTTGGACAGATGAGCCTGACATTGTGCTGACCTAGCTGAGAGCAGATACAGTACATCTAACCTTCAGGTCTCTCCAATATTTTTTATCTTGGTCTGTGGCCAGAGTGTGGGCTAGCACATACATCTTTGCCAACCCCCCCAAGTTTTTATCTGCATTTGTGCACAGGGAGACTGAGGTCTCTGACAGCTTCAAAAACTCCCCAGTGTGGGGGGCCCAGCACCACAGGGCTGTGCAGGTGGCAGCTGGCTCTCCACTGGCCACAGAGAGGGTGGCAGGACAGCTGCTCACTACCCTCAGGACACCCTCAGTGGCCTTTGTGAGGGATAAGCTTGCAGCCACATCCTTCTGCCTCCAGGACACCCCCTTAGCCACTTGGACACTCAGAAGTGCCTGAAGCCAGGCCATGCAGCACTGCAGACAACTCTTGCCTGGGCTCTATGGAGAGGCCACAGAGCTGAAAATTCCCTTGTAAGTCCCTGCTGCCCTCTCAGCAGCAAAGGATGCATTAGGCACACTAGCCATGGTGGCCAAGCTTTGGTAACCAGCTGAAACAGAGCTGCCTTTGCCTCTTCTGCACACAGGCTCCCCAACAGAGGTGATACAGCCCCAAGTGCTACACCTGCACTATTTCACTTGCCTCCACAAGCACTCATGTTCTTAATGCACCCTGTCAGCATGATAGGAACACTTGGGAAGTCATTCAGAAAGTGAAACAGAACCACAGACTCTGCCAGCAGAAGAGATCCTTGCACAACATCTGACCCCAAAAGCCCAGCAGTTGCTCTCAGCCAGGTGGGAGGCAGATACCACCTTGTTGGTTTGGGATGCATTTGGGTTTTAAGCCATTAAGGAAGTACCAGCAAACAGAGAGATGAATTGTTTCTAAAATCAGATCAGCACCAGATTAAGGACAACCAATGCTGAAAACATGAAGCAAAGCTGAAAATAAAATTTATTAAAGATGAAAACTGGTTACCACAAGCACTGCAATTCAGACACACATGGCTAGAGCTCTGCTACCACTATCCAGCCAGAGCACACTGCATACCATCTTCTGCTCTGTGCATGGTAACATAAATCAAGTGCTGTAAAACACTCTGCAGCTTTCCATGGAGCACTCGTAACACAACTCACCCTTCCAATTGCAATGGAAATATTAAAAATCAGAGCGTGCGTTGGTGTGCCACAGCCTCCCTCTTAGCAGTTAACTGATCTGCACATTTTCAGATTCTTTTGCTGTTAAATTATACATACCTTTCTACTACAAAATTTCCATTAAGGGCAAGATATAATATTCATCTTACCAAATCAGATATGCCACTTGCACAGCAGTAATGAATTTAAAGATTTAGTTATAAAAAGTATCACTCACTAAGCACTCCATATTGTAAGTCATCATCTATACTATGTTTATTCAATAAAATGCCACTAGCTGAACCTCATGCTTTATAGACTCTTCCTTAAATAAAAATGTCTTGTAATGAAAAAAAAACACAATTCTGGTTCTCTTATATTGCTACTTCACCAAATAGTAAGTCATTTTTAGACCTATGCTAGCTTTGCTTTATTTCACACATCATTTAATATATATATTCAAATTATCACTTACATTTTGTCATATTTACTTGGCACACCTTTATACAGTGTCTCATTCCAGACTGCAATCACAAACATTTTAGCTCATTCAGTCTTTTTAAAGCCTATGTCCTGCAGACTTGATAGTTAATAAATCAGAATGTCAGCTCTCCAGTTTTATGACAGAAACCTATAAAAAGAGTCCAAGCATATAAATGTAACCTAAAGAATTGGCACCTGCGTCCATGCTGCCTGCTGACAAAGGCCTCGGGGAAGCACTTCTGAACTGACTTTGCCACAGCCTGAGAAGAAAGGTTTTAGGTAACTTTGGGGAGCTTTAAGGGACCTTCACTAATATTTTTAACAGAACTGCTGTCTTTTGAGAGTTAACCTAAAGACCAGCTGATCTGTTGAGTACACTGTGACAAATTCATCCTTGGTTTTACTCCAATACTTCGTGACTACACCAGGGATAAAGCTGCTCGACCGAGTCCAACAATAACAAATAATTTAGCACACTGCTTTAGGAAAAGTAAATTGTACAATGTGAGATAAGAAAATAGATTCCCCACTGCAAAGCAAAATTCCAGAAACATTTTTTAATTCCCTGTTGAATGGGAAATCTGATCCTCTAGGCAACTTCTCAAAAGCGCCGTTGCTTGACAGAGCTGTATGTCAAATAACACAAGAGTGAAGCTTGCAGAAATTATTTAGCAAATGCAACACTGCTTTACAACGGGATTGTTTTCTGGTTTTGGCGAGTTAAAGGAATTGTAGATGTCTGCCACACCTCAGTGTTACTGTCCTTCAAACAAAATGCTCTTTAGATTCTGCTGAGAGCCGCACACTCCGTGCTCGCCTTGCTATTACCCAACGCTGCTGAGAAAAATCTGTGGTGTTTCTTGGGCTTTTGACCTTTGTCTCTACTCTTTGGCCACAGGCTGCCAGCAGGGTGTGTGGGGTGCGGGCGGCCCTGGGGAGATGCTCCTTGCCCAGGGGAGCACAACAGCCAGAGCAGTGATGGGAATGGGTGGTCCAGCCAGCATGGAAAAGCTTCAAACGCAGCCCAGCTGCTCCCGCAATGAGCTCAGTTTCCCTGATGAGGACAGCAGGCCACGAGCATTCCTCGGGAACTCGTTTCTGCAGAGCTCTGCTGTAGCAGTTCACAAATTTAACCTGCAATTTTCCTGCTGGCAAGAACCACAGGAGCACCTTGCCTGTGGGTGCAAGCACACGGCCAGAGGGGTTTGGGTCACCACAGGAGGCCAAGGTGCTGCTGGCACCACAAGCAGGGGTGGCTTTGGAGCTGGCCCTGGCTCTGAGGGGACACGTCTGTGCACCACCAAGCAAAAGGGCTTTTTGGTTTTGCAGTCTCCAAAAATCAGTGGCTGCCTTGTGGCATCAAGCACAGATATATACATTTATTGCCACAGCTAATTTTTAAGATTGCATTTTTAAGCCTTGGATTTTAGTGAGCTTAATTCAGTAGTAAGTAGTTTCTATCTAGATTGCTTTAAAAATTAGCAATAATCACAGTTACCGACCTGGAGGAAATTGGGCACCAAACACCACTATGAGGACAGCACGGCACCACAGGCTCACACTGGCGTGGTGTGCTCAGCACAATGCTGTGGGCAAATGCCAGCAGAAGGGAACTGCAGGCAGCACCAGGATAAATGATGAGGATAAATGATCACTGATCAGTTCCAAAGACAGAGTAACACTTCAATGTTAAGAGTAATTTTTAAGTGACCTTGCCATTTCTAATGACTGTTCTAACAATCTTCTTCTATGAGTAAGAGAAAATAAAATTTGAGAGATCAGTCTTAAAAGTATACCTCACTACCCAAAATGTGAAGCAATGGGATGGGGGGGCTTTTTTGGTTTTCTTTCCCTTTTTTTGCAACCCTCCCCCCCCGCCACACACACACACACACTTTTTCCCCTGGAGTGGAAGATCTGCAGGGCTTTACAAAAGAATATTTTACCCTATGACCTAAACAATCTGGCCAACAGTCAGGAATATGTTATTCTAATTGCCACTAAAGTTAATGTTGTTAATGACCCTTGGTTTTTCTATACAAGCCAGTTTATGCTCTAGAAATTCACTATCTCAATGGAGACATAGCAAGAACTGGGAGTGTTCCTGCCTGACCTGGTGGTCCAAGGAATGTGGCAAACTTGGCAAAGCTGAAAAAGTGAATTCCCGAAGGCCCAGTTTGAAAGTTGCAGTCAGTAGAAATGCCTTCTGAGCTGTGCTCAAAACAGCTCTGTTACAGGAACAAGGTGCTCCTAAAGCCAAATATTTGAAGACAGATTGCATATACCATGTTCAGCTCAAGTCAAGAGCAGATTTCCCTTGCTTCAGTGAGCCTGGGACAGACAGACCTGCCAGCAGGCTGGGACTGTGCTTGGAGCCCAGCGCGGCACAGCCTCAGCCCAGGACCACAGGGACAGCCCAGCCAGGAGAGCCACAGCAAACTGCTCTGGGGCTTTGCTTAGTGGGGCAGGACTGAAGACAGAGCAAGGCCAGAGCTATGCTGGAAAGATGCTGATGCCTCCCTACAATTTCCACTGAAACACTTGGAAATGGGTAACACCTTGCAACACATGGGCCACAAAATATTGAAAAGAAACCAACCGCAGCTTATTTTTTCATCTGTGGGATCAATTATGGACAGTTTAAATTTTTTATTCTGTCAACACAATACAGGATAGGCAAGCCTTTCTATCTTTGTGCCAGTAAATTTTCTAGGGCTTTTCTTTTTTTTTTTAAGCCTGTGGATTTTTGAAGCTGGGATTTATTTTAAATCTAGGGCTGCTCTTAGGAACATGCTATTTAGTGCAGGGTCATGCCTGGCTTTAAATAGGCCCAGTTACGGGGCTTCCATGAAGAAGCAGACACCCACTGATGCAGT